AAGAAGGAGACTGGGTGGAATCCTCATAGAAAGGGAAAGGGCCAGACCGGGGCCGGACCGCGGAGGCATCAGGATGAAAGACCGAAGAGCTCGGCTTAGGGATGCGAAGTGTTGTTATCTAGATAGAAGAAGAAGCGTTATTGCTTATGTTAATATGAAATGTATTGAGTAATTATCATCCTGAAGTGGAAATCAGTCTGTGACTTTCCAGGCACGTGTCAAGTAAGAGATGATGACTGTAGACAGCTGCGGAGCGCCATCAACAAAAACCAAAATAACTAAACAGACTTCCCATTAAGAGGATCTTCCATGTTCAACTGCGACCACGAACGGTTGAGGAACTATGTCTTTCCGAGCTTTCCGAACGACATGCGAACACGCAAGTGTCGCCCCACTTGTTTCCCTCATCCGCATATGATTGGCCCCCCAGCCCTGACCCTTCCGCCTCGCTACTTCCCTCCCCTTGTCATAAAGCTTACTGTGTTCGTAACTATATCGCGACGTCGCATGTGCCAGGTCAATGCTGGCATGTACGTTACTAGTATTGCACGTCCAACATGGACTCAAGCGACGTCTAAGAGCAAGTGAAGTTTGTTTACTTTTTCACTATGGAGAGATCGGCAGATTGTCGTGGCCACTGCGCAGCTTTGGGATGGATAACGTGGGTACGTCGGGGAGGGAAGGCGTAGAGGCGGTGGAGGTTCTTTGCAGTGGCAATACAGCAGAAGATTAGGTCTATCTATACCTCGTAGAATGCGTGGTCGTCTTTGGCGCTGGTTACCGAGCACGTATTTTGGTGAGCGGGACGATTATGGCAGATCTCAGATGTTCAGCTGGGTAACGCGCCGGCATCGACCTCCGACTCCACAACTCTTCCCGAAATACCTAAGCCTCAAGGATCTACACCTAGGTAAAGGCTGTGTCCCTGGATCGAATGCAGCATCGCATGCACTTTATTGAGCATCAACAACGCCAGATCGACACGAGTTGCCATGGCCACTACGCAGCGGCCAATGACGCGAGTCCGCCACTTCCGTAACCGTTGCAGGCCTTCCGTCATCGCTCGGCCCTGCGCAATCAAGCAGCCAATTCAGGCTTGAAGCTCCCAATGTTGGAAACACCGTTCTCTCTAAGTTTAGGAACTTGACAGCCGGTATCCGTCCGTCTGGATCCACTTCGCTCCCATATCCTGATCTTGTACCTGACGTCGCTTTCTCCTTTCTGCTCATCAACTTCGATGGATGGGACTTGAGGGATTACTACTTTCACAACCAAACCGACTCAACCCAAATCACACCGATATACGCTTTCTGTGTCGGATACTAGAACATCGATTATCCCCGATCGCCACTTCACAATGGTTGGAGCTACAGTCCAAATGCGCGAGGGCGCTGAGCTCGTCGGCGAACACGGCTACCGCTATCTTCTCGTCAAGCCGCTCGGCCAGGCCAATGTATGGGTAGCTGTCGATGCAGCTTCTCAATCGAAGATCTACATCGTGAAGCAACCCGGAGACGATGACGTCGGTTTTGGATGGCCAAAGTTCCAACACGAGATGATCATGCACGAGCTCCTCAAGGGGATTCCAACGATCCGACAGCAAGTAGACCGCATCCCACCATCCGCTAGAGGCGAACCGCCCCGAATCGTACTCGAGATCCTCCAATCGACTCTCTGGGATGCGCGCAAGAAGCGCCAGTTCAGCGATGTGGAACTCAAGGGTATCATGCGCTCGGCGTTGATGGGCTTGCGGGATGTGCATCAACGAGGCTTGGTGTATGCGGGTGAGCCTTTACCCACACGACTACGATGACAAGGAAAAGCTAACCTCATCCAGACCTGAAGATGCAGAACATCCTCCTAAGCGGCTTCGAAGATGAACCCAACAAAAAAGCCTCTGTCGGCGACGACCGCATCACCGCCAAACTAGGCGACCTAGGAATCGTCATGGAGCCAGCAAAAGGCCTAGTCCAACCCATCGTATACCGCGCCCCCGAAGTCTACTTCCGCAACGAGATCAACCAGCCAGCCGACATCTGGTCCTGGGGCGTCATCTACTGCCAGCTCCTCGAAGCGCAAGCCTCCTTCAACAAATACGGCATCTACGACGAGCTCCTGCAAGGCAACACAGGCCAAGGCCAGAAAGAGCGTTCCGTCGAACGAGCCATAGCACACGACTTCGGCCTCGGCGCGTTGGATTACTACGACGGCTGCAGACTTCCATACCACGACCGCTCCCACCACGAAGGACAACACTGGGAGAGGTTGCTGGAGAAGGGTGTTCCGGAGAAGGAAATCAAGTTCCTGAGCTGGGTCCTGAACCCGGTTCCTACGGATAGGCCTACCGCGCAGCAGATTCTGGATGCGGGCTGGTTTACCATGGATACGGCGAAGACGAGCAGAATTGCTGAGAAACTGGAGAAATCGGCGCAGGATAGTCGACGGAGGAATTTGCAGAGGAAACGCAGTGAGCCGCTCTTATCCACGTTTTCGGCATCGGCACAACAACCATCTGGATTGTACACCCGCGAGCAACCCACTTCCTTCAGAAACACTACGGCTTCAAATACAAATACAAATTCGACAGCATGGGCTCCGGCTGGTATGCCATGGCACCCGCAACCATCCCAGTCATATTCCCAGCCAAAGTCGTCGCTAGCGCAACCACAGCAACAGTCTTCCCCAGCACAAGGTGGTCCGCCATACCAACCCATGTCCTTCAAACCCGTCACGGTCCAAGCGAAGGAGGAATTGGAACATAAGGCCAGGCCGGTTACGCCGAGGAGTGCGACGCAGAAACCGAGTGGGAGTACGTTTTTGAACTTTGGGGGTTTTATGCGGTAGGGATGGGGTGGGGGTTTTTAGGGGATGGGTTTGGGGGGATGATTTTGGGGGGATGGAGGAAGGGGTTGAATGGAGAGAGAGGGGAGGAACGGTGGTGGGGTGGTGGTGGGGTGATGGGGTGCGTTAGGCCTGCAGCTTACATCAAGTTTACACCACGCAAAGTCGTCGACTCAACGCCAACGTAGGCTCTAGGGTTAGTAGAGTTCTAGTTGTAATGATATTGTTTCTTGTTCTGGTAAAGATATGAGATGATGGGTGATGAGTGACGTGGAAGTGGACGTAGGAATGAGGTGTCGTGAGATTCGCTAGTGCTGCGTCTATCCCACAATTTACGTTGGTAGATTTGTCGAAGACTGCCTGGAGTGTGTGAGGGATCGGAAAAGGTGTTGCTGTTTCTGCCCCGAGGTCATTAGTCCCAGAGTTAGTTTTCCACGGAATTGCTTCAAAAGAGTGGTTGTTAGTGTGAAAACGGCTGTGCTATCTTACGTAGTCCTTTGAGGTCTTGTACATGGATCTCGCTGCGAGCTTATATGTGTAGTCTTTATTTTTATTTCCCTAGTACTACGGGTACACGCTAACTAGCCTGGGCGTCTTGTCTTGTCCAAGGTGCTGATGCTAGTGTTAGTACTACTGCCCGTGCCAAAGTATGCACATCGCCGCAATGTAATTGGTAGCTTACTTCTCCTTACAAAGTTTCGTGTCGAGTTGTCGTAGTTCTACGCGTTATTGGGTATATCTTTTTCTTCTTGAAAGTGATACTTCATTCGAGAAGGTATACAGTTAGTTTTGGAAGGTATAGACGGTTTGGGGAGATAGAGCGTAAATTTGTTGCGTTCGTCTCTGCGCCTGTCTTAAGGTAGCTATGTTGTAGTGTGTTTCTGTTAGATTAGAGTAGACTTAGAGGTTGTTGGTTTGTTAGATGGTTATTTAGGTACGTCTCTGCGCCTGTCTTGTAGTGTTCTTTAATGTAGAGTGTTTGTCTTAGGTTAGAGTAGAGTTAGAGTAGTTAGTCTTTTAGGTTCTTCGATTGTAAGGTTATTCGGTTGTTCGGTTGCTTAGTTGTTCGGTTGTTAGGTTGTTAGTCAGGTTGTTCGGCTGTTAAGTTCTAATTTAGTTGGTTAGGTCGTTTGTCAGTTAGATTGTTGATTAATGAGTTGGTCGGTTTGTAAACTTCATAATAGACATTTCGTGGAGGACTACCAGGTGGTTGTTTGCTCGTCCGTTTCTCTTCTTAAACGCATTTCCCGTAATTGCGAAACCTCATCTGCGCGACGCGTTCCACTTCGTACAAGTACCCCATTCGGTCCCATTCGTGATCCTGGTACCAGGACTCGGCAAGTTCATCCCCGTGTTTCGCGCGTCCAATTTCCTGAAAAAGGCTGTGCAGTTCCTTCCCAGGGCGCCACTTCCCTACCAACCAATCTAATTGCCGAGTTGATCCATCATTGATAGAGGACCTGGGTTCAGCGTATTCAATACCCCATATCACATCTAGGTTACGTTGACTCATCGGCCGCTCGGGGTACACATCTTGCCCCTGTATGGGTGACCATATTACTGCTTCCTTGAGCGCCGGCATCTGTATCGCTGCTCTTGCAAAGCGTTCGAGCAGTAAGATGAGATTGGCATGAGGAGCAATCCGGAACTCGTAATTATCCTTACCACGTGTCTGTCTTCCACCCCGAATGTTTTCGACATAATATTCGTCCATGTCCTCATCGAACTGAGTGCGACTATAGGGTGGGTAGGAAGCGTCTGTGACAGGGAGACCGCGTGCAACGTCGCCTCGGCCATCAGTGCCTTGGAAATACCATGTGCCATCCGGACGGGCGTTGTGAAACATGAGATCAAGTAGTTCAAGGTGTGGCCAGGGAGTGTGTGATGTTGCGGAATTCTGTGGCGATAGTGCAGGGAAGATGCTCTCGTCAATCATGGCCCGTAGTTGCCTAAATGTACGAGTTAATTTATTGGTCTCATATTAGTCTGTGTATGCATGAATATGACTTACAGGTGGCGAAGGTTGTTGCACAAGATACCGAGGCTCGTCGAGAAAGGATCGTGAGTAAGGTTGCTACCTACAAGATCTGGAAAAAGCGTTCCGTGATCATAGTCAGTCACCCGACTTAAGGGGTATAAAAAGTCGAGCGAAGCTCGCCTCAGCGTTTTGGGTAGCTTGTCGACACAGCTGGTAACTGCGGCAGCGAAATCATGTCGGGCATCTCGTCGCGGTCCTGCCCAGTCGTGCTCGTAGTGTCCACTACACGGATCTTCTTCTTCATCCAGGGTTTCGCACCATTCGTACCCTCCGGTCCGGGTACCCAGATATTCTAGATTGGGCATGCTGGTCGCTAGGTCGATGAGAACCCGCAGGTCGAGCTTCGATTCCTGCATCTCGGAATAATTGTCTCGAAGGCGATACGTATATGCATATTCATCCCAGGGAGGGTACTCGTACTCGTACCCTTTCCTGTCGTTACTAACGATTCTGAACGATCGGATGGACGCGATGGGAGGTAGTTCTTTGGCTAGTAGCCGGACGCGCCAGCTGGTCATATAGCGATGGGGGCATGCGTCTTCGTTTTCCGTTCTTCTTATCGGGTTGTAGATCGTGAGTCGATACCTGCCCGGAGCGTGGTATTTTCCGGCCTGCTTTTCGACTTGTTGGAGGATGTCGAACAAAAATTGCATCTGGCGGGTGAATGACTCGTCTCTCTCGCGTACCTCGTCAGCACTCTCTCGACAAAATACTCGATCGTCATCTCCATCAACGTCGTCATCATCACCATCATCATCGCTGCCGTCGTCATCATCATCGTTGCCCTTTAAGTCGTACGTCGCCGAGACATCTGGTCGGAACGTTACTTCTCTGAGATAGAGGAGGCGATGACCGGAGAAGCGCGTAAGGAAGTTGGCTGAGTTGCTTTCGGTAACTGCGAATTCAGCAAAACCCCCAGAGAGTCTTTCTGCTGCATAGCGGAACTTGCTAGTTAGAGTAAGAACACTGCGCAAGTCCTCTCTAGGTAGAAAGCTAGAGATTCTTTCGATGAGCTCTTGCGGGAGTTCGTTCATGATGGTGTGAGTATGTGATGAGTTGAGTTGAGGTAATGAGTAACGTTTGGTGGTTGGGTGAGTGCGATGCTGAGAAGCGATTGAACTTCTGTGGGAAGACTGTGGAGATGACAATGGGAGATTACTGTACTTGAGGAAGGTGCGCGTGGCAGAGCTCTGGGCTGATTTGCGGCGTAGTCACAACATGCGGCTAATTCGGAACATTCCGAAACATTCCGAAACATTCCGGGCGCTACAGTGGCTCCTTCCTGCCCACCACTTGTCGCATCTATTGTCGTTGAAGTCGCGCGGAGGTAAGAGAGACAGTCGTGATGGTTCATGCTTACAGCAATACATTTGTTTGAATGTTCTACTAGAGAACAGTGATGGACACGTGATAGGCAATAGAAAGGAAAGAGTGGCGAAAGAGCATAATAAGGCGGTTACGACTGCCCAAAATAACAAGCGAGTGAGATAAACAAGGTCATGACTCCAGTACAAAATCTCAGACGAAACATCCCCGAACGCCGCACGTAGTTGCTATCTAAGGACCAGCCCCCAAATCCAACTGCCAAGCAATCATAATCACCAATCAGTACAACCCCTGTCTCATAATGCGCGCTCCTTCTCAGACCCGATCTTAGCCTCCTCCTTGGTCTCATTGATCGGCGCCATCATCATCCATGTCTTTCTCATCCTTTGATTTCCACGGCATTGCCCAGTCTTTGACCTTGTCCCATTCATCTTGTGTCTTCTTGATGAGGGCCAGCATATCTTTCTGTGTCTTTTCCAGCGTGTTTTTCTCGTTCCGTTTCGCCTGAGCATCACCCTTGAAGTTCTTGGGCACTTCGGTCTTCTTCGAGGACTCCCATTCGTCTTTCAGACGGTCGAGATTGACTGTCATGAAGTCTGTCGCTCTCTGCTTTGCCACCGCAAACACATTGTCCATGTACGCGTCCCATTTCTTCTCAAGTCCTTGCTCTTGCCACGGAAGCGCGTCGATCACGTCTTCCTGACTTTTGGGCTTCGTCGCATCCGCAAATTGTCGGGGCGTTTTCTGTAGCTCTCGGTCAATGTATCCGATCATCGCTCCGATTCTGTTTTTCTGGTTTGCGAATATTTCTGCGATGCTGTCTTGTTGCATGTACTTGAGAGCTCCGATCATCGGCCGCATCTTCTGGATCGCCCTGCGTGATTGGTCGTTCACACTCAGTTTGAGCTTTTTGTCACGCCCCTTGATCAGCGCTTTCATTTTTCTCTCAGCAACGATATCTTCGTATTCGCCAGATTTCTTCAATGTCTGTATGAACAGCTGTGAGAAGTATTGTCAATATAAATCTGAATTTCCGCACCGTGTCATGGATGTACGTACCCGTCCCTTGTATCTTGCGTTGATTTCACTTTCCAAGAGTGGCATCTCATCAAGCCACATTTGGCCACCATCTTGTTTCCACGGGTATACACTTGCTAGCCACCCAATCGGACTACGTTGCATGACAGCTGGATCCGGCTTAGGGCTTGAACCCGGCGTAGGACTCAGATTGGGGCTAGGGCTCGGACTGAGACTAGCGCTCGGACTGGGACTAGGACGTGAATTGGGGGTATTGGCCAGACTGGCAGGAGGTCCGTCCATTCGATGGTCTTTCCAAGTCCAGGATTCTCTCCAGTACTCACAAAAGCCGACCATGTTATTTTCCTGAGGATCCGGATTCTTGAACTTGGTCGTGATCTCTTTACCCATCGTATTAAAGAACTGGACAACCGTTTGCCATTCTAGAACGTGCTCAGTATCATATTGGATACCGGCACCCTCATCTGGCTTATCCATACTGTAGTCGTCGCATGAATCGCGTTTGTTGAACCCGTATTTTTTGGGCTTGTCAGCTTCCCACTCCCCACTACTCGGGTAACGGAAACTTTCTAGTGGGTAATCGCAAGCGCTTCCTTCCTTGGGTTTCGCACGCTTCTCGAGGCCAGCATACCTAAGATCGATTGGATAGCTTCGTGAAAGAAGGTCGGCTTCATCTACGACTTCATCTTTGTCTAGCGCTGCCAGATCTTTGCAGGACAAGGAGGAGGTTGCTGCTGAGGAAGAAGACGACAAAGTGGTGGAAACAAGCGTTGTTGACGTGACAGGCGGAGTTGTGGAAGATGTCGGCGAGGAGATCGTAGACGCGGTAAGAGAAGACGTTGCGAAGGTTGAAGAAGTCTTGGGAGAGACAGTCGTTTCTACCGGTGGAGCTCTACTGCTAAGAAGGTCACTTGCAGTAGTCGGGGCTGGTTTGGCACTAGCCTTGGTCGTATCTCCGTCTCCGTTCCCGCCGTTTCTCGTGCAGCGTGGACCTTTGCATCCTTTGCAGCCTTTTGCGGGACATGGTAGGTCGTCGTAGTTCATCCCACCCGGGACAAGCTCGTCCGGGGCATCGACCAGAGGAGTAAAGGCCTTCTTGATCAAGTCGTCCCGGCTTGGTACCAGCGGGCTACAACCTGCTTGTCCCGCAAAGTCTGCACCACTGAGGAAGAAGTCGGCCCATTCTTGCGCTGCGTCTTGCGCTTCATGGGCGTACTTGTACGCCTTTGCTGATCGGATAGCGGCCACTACAATCATCTTTTAGCGTCTGCTACTAAACAAAAGAGATGATTCTCGCGTACCCATTCCACCTGTGATGGCTCGTCCTGGTGGGGGAAGTGCTGCCATCCCAATGGCCATTACTACATCGAGGGCTTTCAACGCGGGACACAGAACCTTCTCGAGGATCTTGCCAGCTTCGATCAGTCCTTCAATGAAGAATTCGCCTGCAAATTCCAATATCGGAAGATCACAAGCGCAGTAGCCTGGCTTAACCATCAAGCCTAAACTTGATCTTAGTCTTGAAATCCAATGTGTACAAAGTGCATACCCAGGAAGACATACCGTCATACGTTTTGTCCGCACCGCACAGAAGAGCAGGCCCACCAACGAACGGGTACCAGGGATTGTCACCAAAGATGCAACTTTGAGAAGACACAACGATCTGGCCCTCCGCTGTGCTGTCACCTGGGATGCAAACGTTCTTGCACTGCTCTTTCACATTCTGCTCCGACCCGTCGGATAGCATGTGACATCTACTGTCCTCTAGATACTTGTTCAGCTTCTACATGACTTCGGGATGCTTCGTCTCTGACAAGCCGTATGGATTGGACTGCTCGTAGGCGATGGGATCGCAATTCTCTGCGATAATGCATGTCGTCAGACCGGCTAACAGACTGAGGAACGCCTTCATGTTGAATTGTGGTATAGTAAAGATACGATTGGGCAAAGACGGGTGCGATGTAGTTCGATGGCCGTCTCTTGCGCGTTCAAACCTAGTCTTATATACTCATATCGATTCTGGTCTTGAGTATACTTGGGAAGTACGCCCCCAAGATCTACTATTAGCATGAAGCAGTCTGATACAACCACGCCGTGAGGTCTGGCTATTCGGAGTGTCGATGAGCTGTCATTTTGGACCCGGCAGCCTGTGCCTCTGAGGCTCAGTGAACATTGCCGTTCAAAAATGTGACGGTACATGAGGTATGACGACTGCTGTAAGCTTCCCATTCCTGAAGGAACATCTTAGCCCCAGAACATGGTTGTCGTGGCAGAGACTCATACAACCCAGTTCCACTGTGCCGCTTGATGTTAGATGAAGCTGACAGACTCCTGAATGCATGGCACAGTCGAAGTATACGTCATGATAGAGCCATGGCAAGATTCCGTCGAGATGCGACTGGGAGACGAGATGGACTCTTGCAAATCGACGAACTCAAGTACCTATTGCCAAAGAAAGCCAGGCTAGATACGATGTATTTCTAATGGGCGGCATGTTCAGGCCTGCGCGAGATAGTCGAAGTCTTCACCAGGTAACGCGGTGCCAGTTTCCGGACGATAGTAGTGGTCTCTTTTGGTCGTGTCGGATTAAGCAGAGCCGAGAGGATTATGCGCTACCAATGACTTGCAAGGCTTACGGTGGTGAGGTAATTCAGCCCCACCATTGTTGGAATCGGACACCGAAACGTCGCTTATTTCCAGCGAAACAACCGCGAATGCGACCAGGTCGCCAATAATGGTGTTACTCAAATTGCGGCATTGTCGCGGATCGCAAACGCCGCTCACGAAGGCTGCTCGTCGATAGCTCCGCCTCGATCTTACACGGAATCACACTTTACCGGCGTCACCGACGTCACCAGAGATAAGAACAACAAAACATCTTGAATCTGGAACGTGAGCTCTGCATCTACATGGCACTAACAGCAATATTCGTTCATTCTGCTCGCATGCTTTTCTCGTAGTCCAAATCCTACGACAACGAAGGAGTAATGCGGCCTGGGTCACCCTGGTGATCATCAAGCATCCAATTGCGAAGATTGCTGTAGTTGGAAGATCTGTACCCCTCCCCCCAGTGCTCGACCAGATCATTACCGTGCTTCTCTCGCCCAATGTTCTGGAAAAGACGGCGCAGCTCCGCATCTGGACGCCATGCTGCCACCATCCACACTAGGCAACGTATCGTTGGATCGTCGTTTCTTTGTTGACTTGGGAGATAGTGCGATGGTGACCCCCAGATACCATTGTCTTGATCGGAATATTGTATAGCCCAGTTAGACCTCCAGTTAGACCCAGGTCCTTGATATTCCGAGTCCCAGCCTTGGGACTCTGCGTAGTCATATTTCGGATACCAATTCAGCGATGTCTAGATGATAGCTCTCCTCAAAGAGCACATTTGCGCTGCTGCACTGGAAAATCCTGCTAGGAGCGGCCTCAGTCTTGCTTCATCTGGTGTGATACGAAACTGATTTTGCGCGCCATTGGGTAAGTTGGAGAGATGCCCGGAGGTTACAAGCTCCTCCATATCAATGTCGAGCTCGGTCGTTTCAAGAGGGGGGTACGAGGCAGCGGTGATGTCGTAACCGACAGCCTCGCGGCCGTGGCCTTGAGGTCCGACGAAGTACCATGATCCGTCAGGCCGCGAAGGGTGGAACATGACTTCCAGAATTTCCAG